GAAAAAAAATTCAGGAATCGATGATAAATTTCAAAGCTTCTATTCAACACTAAAATTACTCCGGAAGATGAAAATGATAACTCTTTGACCTTTTTGGATACAAACATTTTTATTGCCCCAAACCAAGTTCTGACGATAAATTGGATTCATAAACTTCTTTTCTGAAAAATATTCAGCAACTGTTCTGCATATCATTATATCAGAAATAATAATAAAAAACAAAATATCACTGGACTTATAATCAAGTGTTCTGGTTTATAAAATCTATTGCGGGGATTTTTCAGAATGCCCCGCTACAGCGGGGCAGGCACATACTTTGTGCCTGCCCCGCTGGGGGCCGAATCAGATTTTTAGAGTTTGGCGGAGCTGTACTCATACCATCTGACCTGAAAGACCACTCACCATACAAACTAATCGACCTCCTTAAGAGGCTGGGTTTAATCGGTCGAGTGTGAGTCACAATAAATCCTTGCGGGTTGCGGTGGAGGGTTGACCTACTCAATTTTGACCTAACCTAAACTATCACAAAGTCCAATCTGTTGTCTGATGGTGTTTTATACGTAATGCTTTTCTAGATCAAAACAGAATTGATTCTTGATGATGATGAAAATAATACAACAGCGATGTTTGTTGATCTACAACCTAGAATTCTCGCAATTTCTTTTCATCCATGTCATAAAAGGCTTCATTGTCAATATAATAATCTCAACATATTTTTATTGTGATTATATGGGTAAACAAAAATAGGTTCTGAAAATTACCATTGGTCGTGCAAAGGTTTTGTATTTCAATATGATAATTACCTCATCAGAAAAGTCAAAAATCATATATATTATCAATCACTTCTCAGGAAAAATCTACCGAAATTACAAACATTCGTCTTAGAGAAATAAAACCACTTAATACTTTACCATTACTCAAATAGGGAGTGGTGAGTGAAGTTCACCACAAGGTTTACTTCTAGGACCCTTACTTCTTTGATTTATGTTATTACAGTGGTCACTCTAATCGCAGATGATACTAGCATTGTATATAACCAAAAAATTAATTTGAAGATTAGCCAAAGTATAATGCCATGACCTCTATGGCATCAAATAAACTAACGCTCAACACTAACAAAACAAACAACATTCTATTTAATCTTTACCCATGTTCAAACCACATTGATAATTCAAAATCGGACTATTCGTGAACTGTTTGGTTTCAGTTACAAAATCTCTTACAGAAATCATTTCAGAATACATGAGTAATTATTTCAGAGTTTAAATTCACAAAGTATCATTGGTAATATAACAGCTATCCCCTTGAGACTCCCGAATTTACACATCAGAATCCTACAAAAAATCAGGCATCAACTCTATTAAAGTATAAAAATACAAGAATCAAAACTTATGATGAACTTTCAGTTTCAGTATCTGTTAAAAATACTGTTCACCGATTTCTATTCATTTTAGTCTGTCTAATACGTCGATTTATTTGATAACTGTAAAACCATGACTAAAGAGCTTCTTAGCCCCTACATTTTTCTCGCTCTTCAGTATTGAAAGAACATGACATTAATGACCTTTCAGTTCAATTAAGTGAGCATGTTTGTTTGCCTCTTCCGTCTTCCATTTTATAACTAATCAATACGTTTTATGTTCAATTATCACTTGGTCCCTTATTATAAATAATTTATGTCAACACCTAGACTTCTTACACCATCAGTGAGTGAAATTATTCCTCAATTAAATTAATCGAAGGCTTTGGAATTAAAAACATTTCCATGCACGTGTCTGCAATTTATTTGTGAAATATTACCGGGACACTGTCTATTGATTACTATCATTATAAATAAGTAGCATAACATGAAAAAAAACGTTAACGTTGGTTACATTCGACAAAGTCACTGAACTTTACATAATGCAGTTTTCGTGCTTCGAAATGAATGATGTGGACAATAAATCACTGATTATTCTACACAAATTAAATAGTTTGTGAGTCTCAGTCATGACTATGGCTTACTGTAGTCCAAAAACTGTTTAGTTTCAAGCTGAGAGAGAATGGATGGAGCCAATCCTGGAAGATTTTGCCAGAATTCCACAAATCTTCATGGAGGTGTTTAATATTTGATTGGCAAAGTCTGAAGCGATGACAATGGCAGGTTCTGGTCCGATGAAGCTGCTTGCAGTTGAAGTTAGTGATTGATTATTATATGAGTGAATGTTTGAACCGTAGCTTGCTTGTGTTTTGACAAAAATAGAGAAAGACTAGTTAGGAGACCAACTTGATCATTCAATAAACCTCCCTTCATTATTTCACACAATTCTTTTCGACGGTAAGATTCGATTCTTGGACCTGGTCCTCATTCTAACCTCGTCATTATCAATCTCAAGCAGCAGTTGTAGCACGTCCTTGTTCTGAATGTTGCTCGTCTCATAATACTTCCTTAGACTCCAATGCGTTCAATTAGATCAGGTTGCCGCAAGCTCCTGATTATCTCGATTCAAGTTGAATGATGTTCCATAATAAAACATAGTATTTTCAACGCACCTAAGTACTGAATAATCCTATCACATTCATTTAGTAATCCATTTTTGCTTTCTTTGTTTACGAAAGAGTGAGCAAGCTGTTGTAATCAATATAATGATTTGAAGTACCATCGGAATTTATTTCTATTATTTTTGTAATAGCTTATAGCATTCTCGCCTTCTAGATAGGTCAGTTGAATAACTAAAATGCATTAAGCTGGCAGCGAAAGTGTATAAAAAATAAATAATGATTGCCATCTCAAGTATCGTACCAAACGTTTTTGAAACTTGTTCAACTGACGTATTCACACCAAAATTTAGTGCAACAATCAATCCACTATCAGTTCGGTTTTCCAGGAAAAACTTCTGTGCTTGATTTGCTAAATTATATCAACTATGAGTAGGATTTCTTAAAGATTCGATGCGAAGCCTCCAATACTTTTATACAAACTTCAAAATCATGGCAAGAATAAAAACTTTTTGATTAGATTCATAATCTGGTGTTCCTCAGGAGTCTAAGTTGGGACCTGTCCTATTCAAAATTTTCATACATGCTTGTTTTTTCTTCATTTCATTTTGGTAGGCTAGGAATGGCTGATGAGGAAGTTAAATATCGGTACGGAAACAATGAAACAATTCTCATTATTCAGAAACGCCATCATACAATGACTTTTCTTTTCTGCAGAAAGTTAAAGTAAAATGAAAGGATTCAACTATCACATTCAAAATATTATAGATATCTATTGGAGAGAGTGACATTAGTAGAGGAACTAAAACTAGTTCAAGTTATCTTCTGATGATACTAACATAGTTGTCGAAACGTTTTCTTTTATGAGAAAATCTTTTCCAAAAGAAAGCTGTGAAGGTTTTCAGAATTTTTAATAATAATAACAATAATAATTTAGTTCCCAAGAGACAAAACATAGAATTGGAATGGTAAAGTCTAGAAAAAAACATACAACGTAGATTTAACAATATCACATTCAAAGACTCGCCGTTGAAAATATATATAAACATATAAAAATGTAACAGAAAAACAGAAACATATTTTAAACAGAATATTCTTATGAGATATCTTCTGAAAATAATTTATCTGTTCAATAAAAACATCTTGTAACAAGTAATTTTTTAAGTTGCTTTTTGAAAGTCAACAGCCTCTTTATCAAAATATTATTATCCACACAGTCGAATGCCCTGCTGAGATCACAAAATATCCCAACATGGAACTCGCATTATTTCGCTAAAGAAGCGGTTTACTGCAGATGTGGTTGACTTTCTCGGTCTGAACCCATGCTCATTTTCCGAGATTATTCTGTTAGAGTCAAGAAAACATGACAGGCGGTCTGAAAATGAGTATTCAAAAATTTTTGAAAATATAGATGGTATCGTTATTGGCCTATAGTTAGAAATTATGTCACGATTTCCCTTTTTATGGATGGGAACAACTTTGCCCACTTTTATCATTTATGAAGTGAACGACACAAAACTTTACTGATGTTGACTTAATTCAATTACTTTATAATTCCCTTATTAGTAAAAGGGTCACACCTATGTGGGTTATGAAGTTGTCTAAGTGCATGCGATTTTTGAATATCCCACAAGCGTTTGTCTGACCAAACTTCAAATTTAAGAAAACAATTCAAAGATTATTGTTTACAATGTTGAGCAAAGAAGTTATAGAAATACTTTTTCTGATCTATTATTTGTACTGAAATCTTCACAAAACTTGCCGACATACTGACCAGGGATGTTCAAAAATTAACGAATCCTAGATGACTGCGTTCAGGATGGTAGCCATTGATAGACTGTATTAGGTAGCTTCATCTTATTCGCTATCTAGTGGTAATTTTGTAAAATATATCATATTGGGTGAAAGTGATGAAATATATTCAATCGGAAATCTTAAATTTATGTGTGTGAAATCTAATGAATGTTTCATCATGAGTTATTCAATTTTTGATTTGTATATTGCGTTCAACTGTTGTCAATGGAGCAATAAATATTCCAGTAGAAATATTATACATGATTCTGCAAGTCATTATTTGATTTTTGAACTTATTCAATTCAGGGAAAACAAAAATAACTTTAATTCGAAGTATATGAACTCCCGAAAAATTGATGAATTTCAGAGTTTTCCTGAATGAAATGAACTCCACTTTTGCATCCCTTTCTACTAATGTATTTGCGACCTACTGACAAATAGGACCGAAATATCAGGATTAGTTGAAAAAAATTAAAAAACAATTACTGAAACCTGATAACGAAGTACGATACGACGAGTGACCAGTTCACTCAACACCACAATCAACAAACACGGAATGCCTCCCATATTAAAAATCGCGAAACCCCAAATTTCCACACCAATACCAATAACGCCTGCAAAGATTTATCTTAATAACCAGAGACGACAGCTCACTAATTCTACAGAAAAAGCCTTCATCTCGAACAGTCTTTTAAAATTTCTCGTATTAATTTGCAATAAATTTTTAGATGAGTATAACGAAACTGGCTGGAAGCGAAGTAATTAGGAAGAACGGCAGTCAGAAAAAATGAATTTAGCGGCTTGGGTGGTCAGCAGGACAGGACTGAGCGCCGCAAGAAATGACTTGCAGGAAATCACGATGAGAGCCGTTTATGGAGGTAGGGGATTGAAATCAGACACTTGCTTGTCAAGAACTTACAAAATGCCTTCGAAAATTTAGAACATTTCATTAATAGTTCATAACGGTAACATTGATGGAGACGTGATAAACCTACCAGGAAGAAAGCTGGTTTGTTTGTTCCATTATCGAGAAGTGTGGCAAAATATATTTTTCTGTGGTAAATGATGTCCTATATCATTTTGTTATACTTTGAAAAATTAATATGCAACAAATGTGAAGAAATCCACAAATCTAATAGTCAAATTGAAAACACTGTGTGATACAAAATCCTGTAGAAAAAGTTCAATTGATCAATTACCTTATTTACATATTTATAGTTGAAGGATAATAAAGTGCGAAGTTGAAAAGTGTGTTTCAGGTTCATTCTGTCTATTTAATTTCTCTATGAAATTGGTAAATACTGCAAACCACACATATGAAGTTCAATATACACTACGCAACAACACAAAAAAATCATCAAGAACCACCCAACAAAGTCAGAAGCTCAAAGAATCCGAGCATATCATATATGGTTCGATAGGTCTATTTCAATTGATTATTTTGGGTTTTGTCACCTTCCACAATCTGAAAGGGCTGTGTTTAATAATTTTTCACAAAGAAAAATGTAGTGATTATCAGTAACTTGTCAATTCTATCTGTCATATGAAGACGCAGGCAGATTTTAGCCTCCGAAATGTTGAGATAGGTTAGATTAGGTTAGGCTGGGTTGGGTTTAGGTCAGTTTGAACAGGTTGCAACCCACAACTCATTCAAACTCGACCAAATAAACCCAGTTTCTTGACGAAGCCGATTGGTTTATATGTTGAACGTGTGGTTCTACCAAACTCTGAAAACCTTATTCGGTCCGCAGCGGGGCAGGCATAAAGTATATGCTCTGTATATGTATATGTTTCATCATTTTCCAGACAGTACAAGTCTCTGCATATGCTGATTCAGACGACAATGACCTGTAGGGAGGCCTGTTAGACATCGTAGTTCATCCCTACTGTAGATCAACAATTGTTTGGTTTCAAGCTTCGAAGGGTGAATGAACACCTTGGAGTGAGCCAATCCTGAAAGATTTTGTTAGAAGTCTTTAAATCTTCTTGGCATCCAGGTGTTCAGTGTTTGTTTGGCGAAACACAAAGCAATGCCAATGACAGTTTCTGGTCTGATGAAACTACTTGCAGCACCCTCCTTTGCAAAGGAGCCTCATTGCCTTCCAGGTCACTGTGGCCAGGAATCCAGACCATAGACAATTTGTTAAGTCTTCCTATTGAGGACAGTCGTTTTTGTCAATTTCCTATCAACTTAGCTTGGAAGGAGCCAAAAGCTTTCACAACGCCGCTTGAATGCAAGACAACATTCTCATTGACTTGTGTGTGAGGTTGGATTCTACCAAACTCTACACACACAATTCAATACCATAGATTTTCACTTGAAATACAGTCGCATAGGTCTCTAGGCAGATTGATATTTCCATACTGGTTCTGAATCTTAAAACACTGTCACCAGAGCCCGAAGGTGTTCTTGATCCATCTGGTAACCAACAACTATCTGCTTTTGAAATTTCCTTCTCCCGGATGATTCAATCCTCACTACTCGGGAAAAGTACTGTATAAGGGAGTTCGTAGTTGACAGATGGAGGCATAATGACAGAAGTCATTACCAGAATGCTATGACTTTCAGAGTCAGCCAGCAGTCTGGTGAACTCTGCATTAGATTGCTTTGTGTGATTAGCGATGTGAACAAGTTTATATGCAGTCCATCTAGCCTCTATCTCCGGAAAAATGTGGAGAGGAGATAGTTCTAGAAGGATCTCCATGGCTGCTGATGATGTGGAACTGATGGCATCACAGATAGCCAGACAAGCCTGTCTCTGTAAGCCAGAGAGCTTTGCTTGAGATGTTTTCTGTAAAGCCTTCGGCCACCAGGCGATTGCCCCATAAGTGATCATTGGATGATCATTACATATATCCAATGGATTTGTTTGCGACCGCAATCTCAAGTTTTACCACAAATCCTTCAACATGTCAATAGAGATATTCTGCATTTGTGTAAAACTTTTTCCAAATGAGCGTTCCAGATGAGTTTTGTATGACGGACAATGCCAAGATATTTCACCTCCGTTTCAAATGGAATGACCTCACCATTGAGGAAAAGTGGCGTTAGATCATCCAACTTTTTCCTTCTAGTGAAGGGGATTGTCACATTGTACTTTGGAGGATATTACACACTATCCTTCCCGACGTGGACCTTGCCAAGATGACAAATCATCTGCATAAGCTTGCAGATCTACTTTTCTTCTGTCGATGACATCAAGCAGACAGACTATTCATCAGGGGCGACCACAGGAAAAGCTTCCCTGCCTTCACGGAAACCAAAACCAGAATTTTTATTCTGAAAATTCGATTTTTGTAATGAATCGACAACCTGGGTGCTAAAGGGCGACATCACCCTTCTTGCAAAGGAAACTCCAAACTAGTGACATGATCAGTATTAGTATTTATCTTCAATAGTAATAAAAATAATAATCGTCTTCATTATTTCCACATTCAAAAGAAAACAATAAATATTAGATTTTAAGGTTTACATATGAAAATAAAGGGCAAAGTTAATTTTCTGCTGTGTAAACACGACAGAAAATATTCTTCCACTCAACCCTAACTCCAGCACAGTGACTGGCTAAGTCTTGATCTCAACAAAGATAATCCAAACCTCATGCTGAACTATGGAGCTGAAGTAATTTTTAATATTAACAACTTCCTGAAGCTGGTGGATGTTTTGACTCCAGACAAAGGAAAGTTTTGTTGCGAGTTACATTTCGCAAGCTGTCTAAATAGCTTTCCAATCATCACATTATATGCGACCATTATTTCAAATATCAAAATGGAAATAGTGAGCTATCCTCGAAAAGTAGGCATATGCTGTCACGAAAATTTTAGTTGACCGATAAAAAAAGAATAATATGTAGTGAATTGTTTTCTCTCATGCCAGAGAAGCGAGGCGGTGTTTTTGATGAAATATCGTCATATTTCAACCAACTAACACAATACATCAATAAATTATACACATAAACCATCCGCCATCACCCTGTCCATTGGTGAAAACCTATGGAAACCCGTTCGAGTTTTTCGTGTTTAGACAGACAGACAGACAAACGCAGCGGGGGTACTAACTTTGTTTTATAATTTGTAGTGATGTAGTTTTGTCAATTTAATGGTATCGAAGTCGTTTTCAACAAATATATCGTTGATTTATGAAAGCATTCAGTTGCATGTCGTATGTATTACCATGGTAGGTTAAGTGGTAGAACCAACCTGTAGTGTTCTACACTGCAGTTTTGAACTTCGCCTCTTGTTTGTTATATTCAATTCCACCCAATAAATACCATTATTATTATTATAATTATTATAAGTGAGTGTAGCCTGAAATCAAATTAAATTACTATGCAATTGTCATCATTTGTTCGTACATTTCAGATGATTTCTCCACCACTACATTAACCCAGAAAAAATTCGCTAGGAACACATTAGTATTGCTATGTGTGAAAGAGTTATGTCATGGGAGGATTTGTTAGTGGCGTCCAAAGGAATGGTGACATTTTACTGAGGAATTTTTTTAAAGAAGTGAAAAGTTGCAAAGAGCCGTCCGGAAGACCAACTTGAGATCAACTTGGAGGCTTGTATCTTCAATTAATTATCAATGAAGAAACTGTAGAACATTAGCCAACTGTATGTAACTTACAAATCGGAATTGATGTTACTTCACAAATTCGTTACATACCTGAAGTATCTCGAATATGTTTGATTGTTTCATGCGTATAAAATAACGAATAATCTTGACATTCTGAAAGAATTACTCTGGCCGAAATAAAAAGGCAATTCAGATTTAAAATATATTTCGAATAGGTACATTTCATCCTTTATTCAGTATTTTCGAAAATCGTGTTAAAGTACATTTATTTTAATTTGCTTTCAGTTCAAATTATTATCACAATAAATTATAGGTATTGGTTGAGTTAATTGGTATGTTTTTTACAGTTTAATAAAAGGTAATTATTTTTATCAAGCAACAATGTAACATTTGATACCTTGTCAAAATTTTATCTCTAATTACCTTCATTTCTACATACAGCAGCTATCGTAAATTACGTTAGTCAGTTTTCAAGAGTCACTTATACATATCTAATTTTTTTTCAATAAAAATCGCAAATAACAATGTAAATAATTCAGAATGATTTTCTTTCAATAGTAAGGTACAAAGGATCAAACTACTATTGGTTGTGAAGTCACCAGAAACAAAATTTGATGTTCGTTTATTCGTCTTCTGTCGACTTCTTCGACTGTGTGTCTTCAGTAAGAATTGATCACAATTGAAGTTGGAAGCTTTGAGAAAACCTTTCACTGAAGTATTATTAAACTCGTACATCATACAGAAAAACATCCTGAAATGGCAGTGTTAATTATGAAAAGGGTATCACGAATCACTTATAAAGACTCCATTTATCGGATCAGTGGAAAACTCGAACCCAATTCCTCAAATATAAATGAGGATCCCCAATAAGGGCGGTTTGGTATCAAGCCGAGTTTCGACATCGACCACTTTATGTGAAATGGCTTCTACTGAAAACGGGTGACTACATGATACCAGAGCCCAAAAACATTCAATTCGTTCAGTAATATGAATAGTTATTAGAGTTGAAACAACCCAAATTTCATATATTATGTGATTAAAGGTCTGGAATTTGGGGTTTTCTTATTAATGTTTCAATCTTTTTCAACGAAATATGAAACATACTGAGATAATCAGTAGATTGAATAAAATAACTCAAATACAGATTTGATAGATTTGAATGATGTCAAAATGGACTCAATAATTTCAGAAACCTAACGAAACAATAAAAATTGAGTGAAATAATTCGTTCTTTCGTGTTTTTGAAGTTATTAATGTTATTCCAAACAATCTTGTATTTCCAGAACCTCCTGAAGAGTTCTCATCAAACTAAGGCAGTTAAGATGCATAATTTTGCCTGGGTTGTTAATAGGGTTACCACCTCTCAGCTCTCTAAATCTTCTATTTCACATTTGAACGAACAGATTTTGAAATATCTGGTCTAGAACAGACAAATTTAAAAAACTCTTTGCAGTCCATTTCAAAATTGAAAAACGTTTGACATGTTCTTCATTTAAACGATTTATTTCCTTTGTCCATATATCGCATGCAGCGTTAGATACAGGTTCAAATAAAGCAAATGAAAATTTTTTTCAACATATCACCAACTCAATTTTCGATGGTTGGAAAAAATTTTGCCCACCTCAAATCCACTCTTTCATTTGATTTAACAATGCTGTCTTGAATTTCCCTTAAAATGCAAAAAATCTTAAAGTTTATTTTCATCAACGGCCAAATCTCTCAAATCATCCCACGTTATCGTTTTTTCATTGAAAGTATGCTTAATTTACTGTAGATTCTCAGAATTTTCAAAATCATACCATTTATTCAGGTAATCCAAACATCTCTGAAAGAAAATGTCTGCTTCCTTGTAAAACGTAGCGTTGTCTGTTTCATTTAATTTTTTAAAAGATCTTTTAATGAACTACCAAAAAAATTATCCTTTCTTCTATTTATAATTTTTTGGCGGATTTCAATTATAACATCGTGCAATTCTGGGCAAGGTACAAAATCACTTTCGAAAACTTTAATGACAGTGTTGAAAATCTGCATCGTATTGTGTAAAAAGTATATTGTGTGAAAACTTGTTATTCCGGGAGAATTTTGTGTATTTTAAATTCCTTCCTGGAGCCGGGAGATTTTAATTTTCAGAGCTTAAATCCGGGAGACTCCCGGAATTCCGGGAGAGGTGGGAACCCTAGTTGTTAAGAGGTCTAAAATAAATTATGATTATTATCCCTACTGATTACGTGAAAATGGGAGCGAATTGGAATCTATCATAAGTTTAATCCACACCGGAGTACAAGTAATTAATTCTGGGTTTTTTATCACTCAGTATTCCAACTTTTATATGCAAAATTTTGAATTCACAGCTGCTGTAGAAAGTGAATAAACTCTCAAAGAGAGAAAAAATTGTTGTTCTCCGTTTTATTTATATCAATCTCTCTTTCAATAATCTTGTCCAAATTTATAATTATCTAGTTTCAATTATCTGCTTAGTTTCAAAAAATGGTTTGCGAAAAATGGACTGATTGAAAGTGTGGAGTAAAATAATTGGTCTGGCTCAACAAACTGGTTTCTCCATTTCTTTGCAATGGCGAAAACATTCATGAGAATTTTATTCCAATTTCACGCATCGTGATTTACGTGGGTCGTCTCCTTGATAGCACCTTGCATGAAAAATGTAGAATGCAGGATCGGCTTCGACTTCATAAAAATCAATAATAGTCAAGATACATTTTTTCGGGTGGAAAATAATGGTTGATAATGAGGTCAAACCCGAAATCGGTCGTATAAATAAAATCTACCAGTAGTATTTCGACAAAAGTGTTTGTTATTCATCTCATTCAAGTGATCAATAAAGAAGAGAAAACTTATTTGAGTAAACTTTAATTGCATTAGGGAGCTTCCTGAACATGAAAGAAACTACTTATCTCTCTCTATGAGTAGTCAAGAAATATTCGTAGATGCTTTCCAGATTATATTTTTCCATGTAATTGTTCTAAATATTCTGTTTCAATTTATTCAACTGATCAAGATACCGCATTTACAGTATTGTAACCTTGCAAAATGAACTGGACCGCAGATAAGTTTGTTGGAGATTAAAATGGACACCAATATGTCTTGGCCCAATCACGTCGCTGGAATTGCAAAGACTGCTTTTCAAAAGCTCACAACATTGTTCCGAACCAGAAAACTGTACACACTTTTGATGCTTTATAAAGCTCAGATCAGACCTCCTTTGGAGTATTGTTCTCATGTATGGAGCTCTGCCCCCTAACATACCCTGAAGCCTTTGGAATCAATCCAGAAAAGAGCCATCTGCTTGATTGAAAACGCAGCCTTGCAACCTTGATAGTCTGGAGCATCGAATAAAGGTTGGGGATTTGTCTCTCTTCTATAGATACTTTATCAGGAGATGTTCAAGCGACTTGTCACATTTGATTCTACCAAGAGCGGTACATATCAGAAATACGCAACGGACTGTGGTTGCTCATCGTTTCGAGGTTCAACCCAGTACGCCTCGAACTTCACTGTTTAACAGCTCTTTCATCTGGAGAACTGCGTTTATGTGGAATACATTTTCTGACAAAGTTTTTTAAAAAGGATTTAATCTCCAGCGATTCAAATCCAATGTGAATCGCTACTTTCGTACAGGCACCGCTCTAAGAGCGCCTTAAGAATTTTTCTGAAATGTATAAAAAAAAAAATTGATGATTTTTTGGGATGTCTCGAGTGAGGAATGAAAAAAACAGAAAATAATGCGAAGTCTTTAGAATCTCTGACACGTGGATAAAGTGAATACAGCCTCTGCTCTACCTCATTTTCAACAATTATTCATACTGTTAAATTTTTTGCATTATACATATACACTATAAGTTGATAGCAAAGTCAGCTCCTCAGAAAATAAGTTAGAAAAGTGTTACACCTCAATAACACTGCTTCATAAAGTTCCTTCGGAAAACAGACAAATTCTTATAGATCTAAGCTGCTGATCGCGCTCAATACCAAAGAGTTTCCTGGAAAGGTCCTGTATTTTCCGGAACACTTCGGCAGTCCAATGACTGAACGCTACAGTTTGATAAAAACCTGCTCATTTCATAGAAGTTAACAAGCTGATCATCTACAAGCTAGTATTGAAACCATATGCCAGCAGCTGTATGCGAGATCAGGACAAAGTTGAGTCAGTCACTAATCATACCAGACGACTTCATAATTCTTCACCTCACCAGCATGGGGCGTTAAGTCACTTGATAGTCTCCAATTCAGATTAGGATATTCTATGATAAGTATAGCTCTCGCAATGCTTATAAATAGAACAGCTAGTGCGACTCTTCAAGATGAGGTTAATATGTTCAAGGTCTCTAAGAGTTCTCCATACGAGGGGGGTAATTTCTCCTTCTTTGTTCACTCCTTTCACTTCACTCCTTGTGAACAGTTTGTTTGACGTCCTCAACAGAAGAGGGAAGATCTTATGCGGATGGCCTTGTCATCTTGGAAAGAACCACGTCGGAATGGGTAGCATGTAATGTCTTCCAAAGAACCTTGAGCGATATTCATAGTTGATGCCAGAAGAAGCAGATGTCTGTGAACCCCAGTCAAACATTGGTTTAGCCCCCTACACCAGGAGGAGAATGTGAATGATTTAACCCCACTCTCCTAGAGAGGTTAGAAAGGTGTGGTTATTTTATTTGCAGCAGAAATAAAATACCTAGTTTTTATCTCCGATAAAAATTCACTTGGAACGGTTACTTGGAACGATCACTTGGAACATGTTTTACGTGAAGATCCGTGAAACAATCAATTGGATATATGTGATTAATGTCAGATCAGTGATCATGCG